CGCCCCCGCCCGCCGTCCCCGCGTCCCTGCTGGCGCCGCCGGCACGCCCGCCGCCGCCGGCAGCCGCACCAGCGCCGGCGCCGCCGGCGCCCACGGCGCCTGCTGCCGGCGCTGTGCCAAACCCCAACGACCTGTGGCAGCAGCTGCAGAATTCCGGCAGGCCCTCCTGACAGCGAGGTGTGGCTGGGGCTGTGGGGCGCCCCCAGACAGCGGCTGCGCAGGGGCTGGCTGCTTCCTCCAGCCTGAGGCTCTGCGACGGCGCTGGAATCTTGTGTGTGCCTGTGATCCCAGGATCTACCTCCCCCCCCTATTCTTGCTTGCATGCATCCGTGCCTGCAATCGTTGACGCATTCGTCGTGGCACGTGACTGCATCCTTTGGTGTCAGGCGGCTGTATCGCTGTCGATGTAAGGCGGCTGTACCGGGTCAGGTGAAAGGCTTTGGTGGCTATCGAAGTGGTGAGATGAGGGAGGCATGTACACACAGGCATGGTTGAGGAGGAGAATGAAACACTCTAGTTGTTCCATGTCCAGAAGCGGGGTGGCGGCCACGGCCCGCTGCGCACGGTTTGCGGCCGCTGTTCTTGCCCGCCTGAAGAGCCTTTGGAAGCTTACCTTTCGTTCGATTTGTTGGTTCTGTTTAATTTTTTTTGCCGGCGCCTGCCACGTTATTCCTGCCTACCCGCTGCCGGGTAACAACACAGCAGTGACCGCCAACCTGCAACCGACACCGCTGACGCTGTCACTCACTCCTCTCATCACGAGGAGGGCCGCCAGCTCCATCAGGGTCCTGACAGGGCAGCTCCCAGGATAGCGCGGAGATCACAAAATGGACAAGGAGAAGGGTCAGCTGACGCTGTTCGACTGCCGCAAGTGAGGAGATTGAAGGGTATTGTGCGTCAGAGCGAAATCATGCGCTGCGCGTCGATGGCAATGCGACGGCGGCGGGCGACGGCGGCGGGCGACTGCGGGGCTTGCGGCCGCACCTTTCTGTCGAGTTGCAATCCTGCCAGGTCTTTGAGGCAGCGCGCGCTTGCACGATGCAGGGTGGTGTCTGGAGGCAAAGGGGGCAGCTGGGTGGTCTTCAGCGAGGGCGACATCCTGACGCACAAGCAGACGCTGCTCAGGTTGGGCGCGGCGGGCTGCACCCGAGGCGTGTCGTGTGCCCTGCGGCCTCGCTGCTGCCCAAGGCAGCAAGCCATGGCCGGCCACAGCATGCTTCGAACAGCCGCTCGGCAGAGCCGTTGTGCGAGTCTTGGGTTGCCCGACCCGCCGCCGCCCGCCCGCCTCCCCTCCTGCCTCCCCGCAGGCCCGAGTCGAGCATGCACCTGCTGCTCAACACGCTGCGCAAGCTGGACTGCTACCGCCTGCAGCTGAGCGACATCAGCGGCACGGACATCGGGCGTGCGGTGGCCACGGTGGCGGTGCTGCACCCGCGCCTGGTGAGCTGGCGCCCGGCCCGGCACCTAGTTTTGGAGTTAGCTCTGGCGCCGGGTCCCCACGGATGGCTGGCCTCTGCCACCACCAAGCCCCTGCACGCCGCATGCCCTCCACCCCATCCCACCCCACCGCCCCCCGCTCACTTCCCTGGCCTCCCCTGCGCTCCTGCCGCCGCAGGAGGTGACCAAGCTGGCGTCCGCGCTGCTGCTCAAGTGGCAGGCGCTGTTTGACAGCTGCCTGTTCAGCCAGATGGAGTATGACGCGGAGGCAGCGGCGGCGGCCCCCGAGGGAGACCCCGCAGACTTCCAGCTGGTGGCGCCGCCGCCGCCGCCGCCCCCGCCGCCGCCGCCGCCCACGCGGGTGCAGCCGCCGCGCAAGGACCGCGCCACGCGGCTCAAGGTGGGGGGGTGGGGTGCCCAGGAGGCCGCAGGCGGCGGCACTTGCTTGACACCACTCACCAAGGCCGGCAGGCCGGGCGCTGCAGCCAGCCGGCCATGCAGCTGTGCCCGCTCCGCTGCCCGGCGCTCCCCCTCCCGCCTGCCTGCCTGCCTGCCTGCCTGCTCACCCGCCGCGCGTTGCTGCCTGCTGCCTGCCTGCCCCAGGAGGAGCAGCAGTACCTGGAGGGCAGCGACTTTGAGGGCATCAGCGATTCGTCGTCAGAGGAGGAGGGGAGCGGCAGCGAGGGCGACGACGACTGGCAGCCGGGGGGGCGGCGGCGCAAGTCGGGGGCCAGCAACCCCAGGAGCGGCGGCGGCAAGCAGAAGAGGAGCAGGCAGTAGGCAATAGGCCGCTGGGCCAGCGAGCGGTGGGAGCCACGCACGCAACCCCCGACAGTAGGCAGGCAGTACGCATGATGCCCCTGACGCGAGACAACAACACCCTGTTTGACGGCGAGCCCCCAACTCCCTTCTGCTATTTTTACTCTCCCCTCTCCCCCTCTTCCCTGCACATTGCTTTTTCCACGCGTCACTCTCGTGTGCTATGTTTCAGCAAGCGTGCCAGCCGCTGAGAGGAAGCAATGCACAGGTGTGCCACTCAGTCAGCAAGCACAGCAGGGAGCGCAGCTGGTTCCAGGGAGGGCACCACAGCGCAGAGCCGGTGGCAGGCGTGGCACGGCGTGCCTGTGCGCACGCCAGCGCGCCAGCAAACAAGGGCTGCGTGCCGCTAGTCCCCCCACTGCCGCTCGCCGGCGTGGGAGTGGTAGCAGGCGTCGCCGTACTTGCAGCCGCCCTTGTGCCTGAAGAAGGCCTTGCAGTGGCCCCTGAACGTCGGCGCCTTGCGCCGCTCCCTGCCGCCGCCCTCCACAGGGAAGGGTCGCAGCTCCAGCAGGAGCGCCTGCCCCGCCTGCGCCACCGCCACCACCTCTCCCATGAACTTGCCCACAAAGCGGGGGAGGTCGGCCTCTGCCTGCAGCAGGGCAGGGCAGGGCAGGGTGAGGGAGCAGGAGGGCGGGGGGGGCAGGGCAGAGGTGGGGTGAGGGGGCTGGAGGGCCGGCAGGCGAGCTGCTGCGGCGTGCCAGACACAGGCGGGGCAGCGAGCAGCCGTGCGCGCGCGGCCCTGCACCACTGCGGCCAGGCATGCAGCGCAGCTGCCCCC